GGTCCATTTCTCCATCTGAAGGCAAAGAAGAACAGAATACAGTTGAGACAATGGCCAGTGTTCTCTCCTCAGAAACACAAGAAATGGTGAAGGATGAAATTTTTCAGAAAATCCTGTCTGAAAAAGAAAAATTCCCGACTGTTAGCTTGCTGGATTTTGCTGGGCAGTTAGCATATTATGCTTGTCACCAAATTTACGTAACACCAAAGGCCTTCTTTATTCTTGTGCTGGACATGACTAAGAGGTTTGAAGATGTTGTGGATAAAGAGAAAGATAACCAAGAAGGATCAATCTTTTCCGTTTGGACTTACAGAGGTAAGACACTTATAAAGTGTCAGATGTTTTAAGGTAGTTATCGGTATTAAGTTTAGGCATCCATTTGTGGTTTTGTTCATCGACAATACACATTTATCATTTTGTTTGTTCAAAGAAACAGAAGGCCATTTTTAACAATTGTTTGGTTGCCCTAGCTCTCCTGACCGACGGGCTTAAAATACCCTAGCTTACCTGAGCCGAAGACTCAATTGAGCTTTTCTGATCAAAATTTGTCTGTTGTCTGTCGTCGTCGTAGTAAACTTTTCACATTATCATCTTCTACTCAAGAACCACTGGACCAATGAAACATGCCACGAAGTGTCATTGGGTGAGGGGAAATCAAGTTTATTCAAATAAAAGGCCACAACCTCTTCCAATGGGAAATAATTATATATAAGTGAAAAAAATAATGGCGTATTTAAAAAATCTTTTCAAGAATCATGGGGCCAGAAAAGATGAAACTAATGTGGATGCATCCTCGGATAGTGTTATTTCAAGTTTGTTTACAACATGACCCCGGGGGAAGAGTTGGGTCACAATTGTGTATCAAAGTTTAACATTAGAATACATAGGAAAAATTTTTGAAAATCTTTTCAAGAACCACTAGGCCAAGAAATTTGAAAGTTATGTAGAAGTATCCTCTAAAGGAGAAGGTTCATGTTTGTTCATATCATGACTCCTTTGGGTAGAGTGTGGCCCCAGTTGGGCATCAAAATTTCACAAAAATATAGGGAAACTCTTGAAAAAGAGATTGGGGGTTTACAATGGCGTATCAAAGTTTTACAGAGGAATACATAGAAATTCTTTAAGAATGTTCTTTTTTTTCCAAGAACCACTGGGCCAGGAATCATGAAACTGACATGTAGAAACATTCTTTGGAAATCCTCAAATATTGTAGATTCAAGTTAATTCAAATCATGACCCTGGGTGAAGGATGGGGCCACAATGAGGTTTCAAAGATTAACATCGGAATACTAAGGAAAAATCTAGATAGATCTTCTTCTCTAGAACAGCATAGTCATGATTGTTTATAGTTATATGGAGGCATCCTCTTATAGTGTAGATTCAAATTTGTTCAAACCATGACCCTTGGGGATAGGATGTTGGCACATTGGGGGATGAAAGTTAAACTTATGAATACATATGAGGAATTCAAAAATCTTTTTTCTCAACAACAGTTAAGACATGATTGGACATATTTATATGGAAGCATGCCCTGATAGTGTAGATTTAAATGTGCAGATCATGACCCATGGGGCAAGGGAGGGGCTATAATGGGAGAATAAGCAGGCTTACATAGACAAAAACCATCAGAAAGTCTCCTTCTCAAGAACATCAATGTTTTACGTAGGAAAACATGGGAAAATCGTTTTAATTCTTCACAAGAACAACAAAGCCCTGATTTGATCATGAATAAGAAAAGTATCAAAAACGATAATGTAGATTTAAATTTGTTATGCCCCGGCATGAATATGGCCGGGGCATATAGTGTTTGTCATGTCCGTCTGTCCTCTGTCCTTCCGTCCTTTCGTCACACTTTGCATTTAGCTCTATTCAAAGCTAAGTTTCAAAGAAACCATCCAAGATATTTTCATCAAACTTCATATGCTGATAGATTTTGCATGCAACTGCATCAATATTTTTTTACTTGACCTTTCCTTTGACTTTGACCTCACTTTTCTTTAATTAGTGTTTAGCTCAGTTTTAAACAAACCATTCAAGATGGTGTTTTCAAACTTCACATGTTGATACATACTGATGAGAGCTAGTCAACTGCATCAACATTTTTTACCTTGACCTTTCCTTTGGCCTTGATCTCACTTATCTTTATTTCGTGTTTCGCTCAGTTTTAAAGATACCATTCAAGATATTTTTATCAAACTTCATATATGAAGTTACATATTGATGAGAGAAATTCAACAGCATCAACTTTTTTTACCTTAACCTTTCCTTTGACCTCACTTTTCCTAAATCACTGTCAAACTACATATGTTGATACATATCGATGTAAGCAATTCAACTGCATCAACAATTTTGACCTTGACCTTTTATTTGACCTTGACCCCAATTATATCAAATTGTATTAAAGGCAGTTTTAATTAAAGACATCATTTCTAGATATCTTTATCGAACTTCATATGTTGATACATATTGATGAGAGATATGCAACTGCATCAACAGTTTTGACCTTGGCATTTCCTTGACCTTGACCTCACTTTGATGAAATTAGTGTCAAACTTCATATGCTCATACATACTAATGTAAGCAATTCAACTGCATTACTATTCAAGATATTCTGATCAAATCATGTACACTAATACAAATTTTCATGCTGGTTTACTACAGTCCCTGAAACGTTCTACTTTGAGTTTCACACCTGAACGGTGAAGAAACGCTGAAAGAACGGTGAGTGAATGCAGAGAGAACGATGAGTGAACGATGTGCGAATGCTGAACGCAACTTGGTGAACGGTGAGTGAACGCAGAAAGCAAACGGAGCGCGAACGTGTGCGCAAAATGAACGGTGAACGCAAGATGAACGATTTATTCAAAATGTCTCTGATCTTTTCCTTGCATTGAGATTATTTTATTATTCTATTATTCTAATTCTAGATGGTTTAATATAAATAAACAATAAATGTAATAAATAAATAAATTAATTAAAATTTTTTCTGTACCTATATGTACCTATTTTTTAAATCGATATTTTTATAAAAAAAAATTAATTGCCGTAAAACATGTGTATTTGTTACCGAATGTGTGTAGATTAAATATAAAATTAATCTATTTATATAGTAAATATGCTTATTCTTTTCACTGATAAAATAATGTGGACTTCAGAAGATAAAACTACTACTTATAGAACGAATTAATTGCATTGTACGCGGTTGAAACAACCATACATGTATTTCCGTGCCAAAGCGATTCTGAGTAAAATAACGGATTTTTTTTTTAATTCGCAAATGTCCGTTGACGTATTGCATAAAAACTAATTTGTTTTAAATTCTAATGCAAAATATTCCATATTTGTGTGTCTTTTGTATTCTTTCATGACGATTATCTTAGCTAAATTCTACATGTATCTGAAAAAATTCCCGGCCGTGATTATACTAGGTCATTAGATGATGGAAAGAGGCATTCAAATTATTTGTAATAAAATTTTCAAAACTAAATAAGTAATGTGCTGTCATAGTTTTTATTGAACAGAGAAATGTACGAGAGAAAGAAAGAAAGAGAGAGAGAGAGATACCCACTCAAATCTCAGATATCAGTTGTATCAAATAAAAATTCTTATTATTTTTCCTAAATATTGCAAGCAGTAAAGGTAATCATTTTTTTTTTAGATTAACAGATCCATTTAACAGTAAACATTGGCTTTTATTTTCCACCATCAAGTTCACACGGTTCACAGGAAGTCCACGTGCTAGTAGCGTGCTTGTCCTGTCAATCAAAATCATTCGACACAGTGGAGATGTGGAAATCGCGTTTCACCGAACATGCTGAAGGCAAAGAGTCACTTAATATTTCCAAGGAGTTTTAATATTTTCCCTATCATTTCTAGATCTGATTTTTGCATTCCTGCAGAAAAAATAAATAAAGAATGGGAATATATACTTGGAAGTATTAAGTTTTAAATTGAATTTGAAACATATTCCCTGCCAATTTAAAATACTTCTGTCGGCATAAGTGTATTCTGAAATACTATTGTTTAATGACTGTTTGATGTTGGTTTTAAGACTTATTTTCTTGTGTTCCAATACACATTAAATATTAATTAAAATATACTGAAAATACTCACTAAGAATTTTATTTCGGGAGAAAAGGCACCGGGGAGGGGGGTGTCTTAATTATAATGAATGGCAAACATATATTTAAACATATGTTTAGGTACCTTCTCTAATAATAGACTATTTTAATCAGTTGGTCTTTTCTAAAATTTAATATCACACTATCAATTTAATTAGCTCTAAAGATATTTAATTAACTGAATATTTGCAGTACTGTTCATTATAATCAGTCCTTCATGTAGTTTAAAAATACGGGTTATTGTAGAAATATTTTTTGTGTATTCTTTTCTTGAAAAAGACTTGGATTAATTATTATACATCCATTAATGATTTGTCGTCATAAAAATTACAACAAATTGAGGCCGTGCATGAAGCATTTGTACATTGCCATTTTTGAAAATTAATATTTTAGCATCGTTCTACATACATGAAGGTATTTAATGTATTATTTTACAGGGAAATTTCATGAAATAATTAACAGCTTAGTTATAATAAAAGAAATATAACTATCATAGATAATTTTTGCAATGAAATAATTATTCTTCAATTACGATATCAAAGTTATTTAATTAAAAAACGTAATCCTTATCATCAAAAAGATAAGTCCTTTCACTTCGGAGTTCCGATTGACAATTAAGACTGAACGATAAGTGAACGGTGAACGCAAAGTAAACGGAACGAAGAGCGAATTATGAACGTTTTATGAATGGTGAACGCAAGCGCACGGTGAACGCAATACTGTGTACGAAGAGCGAACGGTGAACGCACGCTGAACGAACTGAAAAATGAGAAAGTAGAACGTTTCAGGGACTGTAATATACCCTCGGCAGGGCATTCATGTCCTATGGACATATGTCTAGTTATTAACAGCTTTGGTTTATTTTTGAAATAACAACTAGTGAAATTTATTTTTTTGATATTAAAATTAATCAGTTCGTACTAATGGAGTTCAATAATTAGATGGAGTTATTTCGTTGGGGTGTTAACATTTGTCATTTTCAGTTCATTTCTGATAAAATAATTTCAACCAAATTTGGAATAATGAATCTAGTTTTCAAAGGGGTTGCCATTGAAATTGACTTAATTCTCTTTATACATGCCCCTTAACAAGTACACAACACTGGGGTTTCCAAAATCAGTTTTCAGGGGTGGGGCCAAAAAAAAAATAAAATTAATGCAATTTTAAAAATCTTTTTATTTATGGACATCAAGCAATCAAACTGTTTGCATGATTGTAATCTATTGTAAAACCAAAATTGTGAAATTCAAATTCTTTTACTTTTTCATGTTTTAAACACAAAGCAGTATAAGATACACACTTTCCAGAGAATATGAATTATTTCTATTGAAAATTTTTTTCTTTTCCTGGGTTGTGTTTTCCAACTAAATACAAGTTATGATGACCTCAATCAAGACCTTTGGAGGCAAAATTGTGCAATTTTATTGTTGCCACACACACGGAGTTCTGGTCTTACAGGTAAGTATTCAGGCTAATTGAAATATACTGAAAATAAATGAATTATTTGAAATGCACAATTACAGTTAAAATTCAGAAATATTAAATAAACTAAGTAATTTATGAGTGCCTCTTACAAAATTGTGAATTTTATATTACATCCAGGGTCAGCCATATATTTTTTCAACAATGGGGCTCTAGATTTTATATAGTGAAATGCATGAATTCTTTGAACATCTTATCCTTTGCTCCTGGTTATTATACTAAAAATCTAATACATATTTAAGGCATCAGGATTTATTTTCATTTATTTTCTGTTTTACAAATTAAAAGGTTTTTAATTTTCAAAGAAAAAAATAAAACAATTTTAAATCTTTCTGATGTTTTGAGAATCGGGATCGAGACAAATTTACAAATCGCATTTCCAATAAGATGAAACGGCGGGTAAATAAGAAATGATTTGTAGTTTTGTGTAAAATTCCTTTACACTATGTATTAAAACGTTTTATTCAAAGGACAAATAAAATGCCGACGACTTTATTGCACAATGACATGCTGGTGAGATACTTATTTTTTCAAAAAATATATTGTCTGTAATAATTTGGTTTTAAACTACCGTGGTAGCTATTGCATATTGCTTTTTCTTCAATTGGAGACATTTTTAGGTCTCTGTTATTTTTAACTTACAGTCTAAGCATATTTTTCAGAAAAGGGTTGCTTATGCATCAGATGTAATGAATAAAACTATGGGAGAAGTGATGTCCATTTGAGGAAGAAATAAACAATAACCTGAAGAAAAGGTGTTTATATTGGAATGGCACAATTGATAAACAAGGACGAATAAAAAAAAAAATTTGTCAACTGATTATAAAAGCACACCCTATTCCCCAATACTTTGTTTTATGATAGGAATTATAATTTTAGGCATCAGGTAAATTTTAGAACAATGTCTACACATTCACCTAACACATATTAAAAAAATGAAGATATATTGAAAGACTTTTAAAGAATTGATTTTTAAAATATATTTTGACCAACATCACAAAATTTATATAACTGGCCCAAACTGGCAGATGATGAAATAAGCAATTAAATGTTCTTCTTTCCTATTTGTAAGCATTATGTGTCCATAGTAAGGAGCCAATTAGACATGTTAGAATAGCATAAAAGAAGAATGTACAAATGTTAATAATTGATTTATCAAAAAAAAAATTTTATTTTCTTCTCCTTCGGGACTTTTTTATTCTGATGTTCATAACTAAACCTAAACATAAAAAAATGCTGGCCTTATAATGAAGAAAGGGGCCTCTTTCAAAAAGATAATTTCAGGGCCGCTGGGTCAGGGGTACCATGGGGGTACTTTTCAGAAAAAAAATAAATTAATGCTTTGAAATCTGCCCTTTGATAAGCAATGGTGCCTCCTTAAAAATTTGTGAATTTCATGGCTTTTGGATTAAAACATGAACCAATTGCAATCGCTGGAAAATTGTTACATGATACTCAGGTGACCTATAAGGCCCGTGGGCCTCTTGTTGAAATAACAACTAGTGAAATTTGTTTTTTCTGATATTAAAATTAATCAGTTCGTACTAATGGAGCTCAATAATCAGATGGAGTTATTTCGTTGGGGATATTGATCTCCCATGGGCTTGTCAGTTGTGGTGGGTATCTGTTCATTTCTGTGGATGTGACAAATAAATTTTCAGTCAGGAATGATGAATCAGTTTTCAGAGGGTGTTGCCATTGAAATTGACTTAACTTCTCTTTATACGCTGTTTGCCTTAACAAGTACACAACACTGTAATACATGTTTCTACAAAATCAGTTTTCATGAAAAACAGAAGGAAGAAGATATGTAAAAAAAAAATCAGAATTTAAATATTGCACATTTCAGAGTTCATATTTTATTTAATAACTATTAAAAGGTTATCAAACTATGAAATCATATAATTCTGCTGGACTATTGTAAAACCAAAAACAAAAGTATAGATTGAAATTCTTTTACTTTTTCATGTTTTAAACACAAAGCAGTAGAGCTACACACTTTCCAGAGACTCCGACCTGTTTGGTTTTTATTAGGATGCTTTGTTCTTCTTTTAGTTTACAAAATTGTGTTTTCTTTCAGACTACCTTAAGTTTTGGATTACCTCAATCAAGACATTTGGAGGCAAAAAAGCACCACTGTTTCTTGTTGCCACACACACGGAGAAAAAATCTACAGATGTAAGTATTCAGGCTAATTGAAATGAGAATCACAAAAAATAACTGATACAAACCTATTTGATGATGCACAATTACAGTTAAAATTCAGAAATACAAAAGAACCAATAATTAATTGACAGTTAATCGTATTACACAATCATTTATTTTGTATTACATCCAGAGTGTCATATAAATTGTAATCAACAATGGATACCAGATTTTCATGGTGCAATTGACGTCAGTTTGAACTGTGCACTTGATTTTAGGATATCCGATTCTGAGCCAGGAAGGATAACTCCAAAAATTAATATTTAATTTGAAATGCATCAAAATGAAACTTCTCATGCAAGAATTTTTATTTCATTCATCTTTATAAGATTAAAGGGTTTTGGAAGTCTTAGAAAAAATCTTATAAAAGTTGACAATTGTACTCTATAAATGGAAAAAAATTAATACTGTTTTAGAGAATGGGATTTTTTTGAATCTTGCCTTTGATACCAATGCTTATCAGCATGATATGAAATAAGAAATGATTTGTATTGTCTTGCAATGATAGCAAAAGCCTTTACACTATGTATTATAGAATACATGACGGAATTGGAAGACAAAATATACCTAATAAGTATAAAACTTATGACAGTTACTCTGAATGCCTGGATACCTATCATTTTTTAACCTAAAAAATATATTTGTTTAATAATTTGCAATTAGAAAATGCATTGCCGATATTCCAATTCGCTTTTTCTTCAAAAACATTTGAGATTTGTCAATTTTCCCTATTGAATCTGATTAACTTTAATTTTTAACTTTAAAGAAATACTGTGGATAAATGCACATAACTTTGTGGATTCAGAAGTACTTTTATGAGTATTTTTTATATGCAGCTAGGATAAGGCTGCCCGTAAAATTCCAAACTGTTCAAACCGTAGTTACTTCTCTGAACTACATAGATATGACGTCATAATAGAATATATTTACATTCAGTGTAATTTTCTTTATGAAATCCATTAGAAATCCACGACGTTTAAATTTCTATAAGACACACGAAACCTTGTCACCGCGCGTTAGAATACACAGTAGGAACTACATGCATTTTCAATATTTAGGAACAACAAAATGTATATCGTTTTGACTTAATTTCATTTAAAAACTACCCTTTTAAAATTAACATAAAATCACAACAAATGTGCAATAACATTTAATTTGTATTTTTTTTCCTCGCAATGTTTATTTGCGTTATTTAACTTTCCAAAGTCACAAACGACTTTCCAACTTCACGGACGGCTATAACATTTATTAAGCACACCAATACTGAAGGGCGCTAAATTCACATTAAACATGAACGAAATAAACAATTAAGATAAAGGAAAATTAGAGATGTAAATATATGCATTGAATTCATAATTTGGGATGTCTTCGGTCCTATAACACACCTGGCCGTGCCGACTTATTTAATACTTTTAGCGAAATGATAATTTGTCTGCACAGCCTGGTGTGTTATAGGACCGAAGAAATCCCAAAATATGAATTCAATGCTTAAATGACGTCAAGTCACTGCATACTTGAGCAGGCATGACAGGCAAAGTGTCATACATTTTACATGGCACGTAGATTTCTTTTGGGGACTTGTTGTTTAATTCAAGTGTTAGGATTGTATTTAAGCTCGAGTGTGCTGTTATGATGTTGAACATTTGAAATTTAAATGTCCTTATTCCTTTTGCTTGCCCGATATGCACATATTTAAACAAAACCAAAAAATTATGTGTGAAACGCTCCCCTTACACGTCCGAAGACAGAGTTAAAATTTATGAATCGTGTTTATATTGGAATGGCACAATTGATAAACAAGGACGAATTAAAAATATTCTGTGTGAATCTACAGGAGAGGTATGTCCTCTAACTGAATATTGCTGGGGGAATTGTATGTAGTTTATCCATTTTTGTATAAAACGCGATAAAGAGTGGAAAATACCCTTTCTTATGTTGGTAAGTTGAATTTCTCGTAGAATATTTTTTAAATGAGTAAAAACTAAACTTGCCTCAGCACTTTCTATGTACTATAAATCACGATGAATTGATCTATGTAACAAACTTTGCACAATATTTTTCTTTTGCACTTGTGCCGAAGTGATTTTTGTGCAACAATTAGGAATATCACAAATCTCCGTCACGTGATCAACACAGTCAAGTGACGTCATGGAAATGCTTTAAAATAAAACAGGATTAAACTATGATAATCATCTCAAGTTGTCTGCAAACATTACAAATTAAAATTAAAATCTATCTCGGAATAAAATGTATATTTTCAAGGCATTTTAAGCCTCCGGACAGCCTTATCATAACTGCGTAACTTGACTGCTTATTTTATAAACCTCAGGATCGGGCTACCTTAATACTGAAATACCTTTAACTACACATTTTCAAACATCGACACATTATCATAATTTAGGGTTCAGTTTACAATTATGAATTAATATTTTAATATACATGCTTTATTTACTTCTTCAGGAAATAGAAACATTCTTTGGGGAGTTTTGGAATGCTGTACCAGACGAGGACAGAGATTGGTTAAGTGAGTCTTTGAATGATCGGGAATATGCAGTAGGTCTTAAGGAACTTAATGATAACACTAAGGCAATGCTAGACTCAATGAAAAATTCTATAGTGGAATTATTTACGGATGATAATACTACAAAAATTGAATTGCCATCCTCATGGGCTCTAATGGAACAGTTATTATATGAAGGAGCCTGGAAGGTTTTGTCCCTGAGTGAAATCTGGAAGCTCAACGCATCTCTTCCCGATGAATACCAAATCAAAAGTGACGAGGAAATGTCGGAATTTTTAAAATGTTTCCATAATAATGGTCTTCTTTTGAATTTTGAAGAAGCAGAATTGAGGGAACATGTTATACTTGATATTCAGTGGCTTGCTAATGCTTTCAGCAAGGTAATTGCCGATGAAAACCACATCAATAAAGATTGTAAAAGGAAATTAGTTAAAGAGTGGAAATCCTTCAACAAAACGGGGGCACTTAAAGATAAAGTGATAGATGCTTTGTGGAAAGAGGAACCCTCTTACTCGAAACATAAAAGTGAAATTTTGCCATACATGGAGAAACTTCAAATGCTGGTACCTTTGGATGCATTTGAGGCTGTATCAGAAGGTGGCATGTCATGGTATGTCCCATGTATGAACAAAAAGCAGTTTAAAGCTGACTTTTTTGAAGATAAGTGGGAATGCTCATCCATTTTGTGCTATCGATTCAATTCCTTTGCCATGTTTGTGTTCTACAGACTGGTAGCATACTGCATAAGTTCTCTAAGATGGAGTGTTGCAAAAGATGAAGATAATGAAGGAAGTCCATGTCTTTATCAAACGGCAGCAGTGTTTGATCACAATGAACACACTGTTGTTGTTGGCATATGTAATGACGATATCCAGTTGCAGGTGCTGAGAATCAAACCATTGACTATAGACAAAGAAGTATCAAATGAAATTGGAGACTCCATTGATAAAGCAATAGAAAAATTGACTGAAACATTTATTGGCACAAAGATATTCCTCAAAGGATACAAATGTCAAAACGTTGTTTGTAATGAAAAAGACATATCTTTTACTCTTGCAAGTGAGCTGTCCAAAATCAAGGCTAAAGAAATTCAGTGCAAGTGTCAACTTCGAGAGAAGCATGTGATAAATGTACAGATGATGCAGGGATTCTGGGAAAAGGTAAAAGTTATTAATCTTTATACTCTCTGTAAAACAATCGAAAAATCGATTTTTAGGACTTACATTGTCTGCCTGTCTCTTGGTATATATGTCCAGCCAATAAGTTTGTAGGAAAAAATCACTGGCACATTTATTGTTTACAAGCTGAGGAATCATACTGATTTTGAACATATCAAAGATCAATGAACGAAAAAAAATATTAAAGAGAGAGACATTTGAAGTTTATATTTTACACAGAGCATTCTATCAGGAATGTCTTGATCTAAATGCAAGTCCATTTGGTCAAGTTCAAGATCACTTTCAGAAATAAATTTTTGTAAATAAAATAAACGTTACCATATCTTGTAAAATGGACCATTATTTGACTCAAAGATTTCTTACGACCCAAGAATGTGTCATGATTTGAACTTATTTAAGGTAATATGATGTTTACCTGAAAAAATAATTTGAAACTCAAAATGAAATGAAGAAAAGTAGTAAGGTATTTTTGTATACTTCAAACTAATATTGCTTATAATCTCAAAATGTGTCATGACCTTGATCAAAGCACCAAGTTTCTTTCAGACCAGTGCAGAGTAGATGAACTGTATTGCAAGAGATTAATGGATTTTTAATCTTTTACCAAAATTGTGCAATTAACTATCCATTGTCTCGTGGTTCGGGTACCAGGGTTTTAGAAGCTCTGATGAGTACATTAATATGTTTCTCTCTAGATAAATCTTTCATTTCACGTTAATCCCAATTTTCCAAATTGATGTGATGTCACCAACTCAATGATATCTAATGGTAAATTAAAATTGTTTTTATCCTAATTTTCCTTTCTTGACCTACAACAGGGCCCTTTGTTATAATCACCTTGGAAAACAAACTGTACTTGCATTAGGGTTTAGCTTTGCTTAATATATGGGGAATCATCTTATAAATTTTAATCTTGGTTTATAATGTTTTTTCCTAAGTTGGCTCCATTAGATGAACTAAGATTGATTTTGCTTCAGACAAAGTTGGCTATTTCCAGCACTTAGTTTCGAGGTTAAGAATGGTTCATTATAATAGCTATGGTTTATTTTGTTTCAGAGAGAGTCGAGTGATTCCAGTACTCCAAAGGCCTCTGGACAAAACCTAGAAGGCCGGTCTAGATTTGCAAAACTTGGTATGGCTACAAATGATGTGTTGAATAAGGCATACAGAGATATTCTAGAATCAGAAATTCCTGCATCTGATATTGAGAACAAGGTGGATTTATTATCAAACAAAAAGTTGAAGAGTCTGAATCTAAACGCAAATCAAGAAGATCAATTGAAAAAAGCAAAAATATCAGGATATGAGGAATTTGATATTTCATTAACATACAAATTGATAAGAAACATTTGTTCAAAGATTCCTAAACCAACAAAAGGAAAATGGGGAGAAGAGCCTGCAGCAGGAGAGGTGAGAGTGGGTGATGATATCGAGAGAATTAGGTCAATACGAAATAAATTGACTGCACATGTCAGTTCAGCCTCCATCTCTCAGACAGAATTTGATGACACCTGGTCAACGATGTCAGATATCTGCCAAAGACTGGAAACGTTCACTGGAAAAAAGTACTTGGATAGTCTTAAAGGGATTCAGAAACTGGCTCTGAAAGAGGAAGGGGAAGATGCAATAAAAGCTATCATAGAAAAGTTTGTCAAGGATCAACACGAACAACATGAACTGTTGAAGTCAGTCGTGTCAGATGTTCAAGAAATAAAGTCTCAAATGATGACATTAAAACGAAATTGAAGACTAAAGGCAGCCATTTAGAAATAATAATTTTTTACTCGTAGAAAGTTCGCTGGGATAGTGAATAATGAATTCTGTAACACTTGGTTGAAGATGTCAGAAATCTGCAATGCACTTGCAGGTTTCATTGGTTAAAAGCCTATGAATAAGCTTAATTATAATCATAAACTGGATATAAGGAATTTGATATTTCATTTACATACAAGTTGTTAAGAAACATTTGTTCAAAGATCCCTTAACTAACAAAAGGAAGGTGGGGAGAAGAGCATGCAGCAGTTGTAGAGGTGACTGTGGGTGATGATATTGAGAGAATCTGGTCAATGCAAAATAGATTGACTGCTCATGTGAGTTCAGCCTCTATCTCTCAGA